GTTCACTGATTACAGTGATGTGACAGATCATTCTGGCAGCATCAGCTCAGTATCTGATTCTCAACATTTTCAAACTATTTCTTTGATTATCTGGTACAACTTTTTTCAAAAATTGAAAAATTAGTTAATTAATGAATAATCTAAATTTATCAAAGAAACTATTAAAGTATCAATAAATAAAGACAATACATATTTGACCCTTTCCAAGCTAAAAGACATCAATGTATATTAAATAAAATAGTAGAAATTGAGTGAACTTTTTATAAATTTACTTCTAATTCATACATTACAATCTCTATCAGAAAGGACTATAAGGAGATTCATTGCATAAAAAGCCAAGTTTTTCTGTTTGCTTTAAGATGAAAAAATAAGCATAAGCAAATTAATAATTGGAGTATCTGGAGTACCATCTATGAACTTTTTATGTAATTTGAAAGCATAGAACTATATTTTATTTGATATCTAAGTATTATTGCAAAAATCTGGAATACTTTTTTTTAAACTGCTAACTTTTATAGAAAGCAGACATTTATCAGAGATAAATAAGCATAAATTATTTTAAAACACACAAATTACCTAATACTTTTAGACCTTAGTTCATCTTTGGGAGATATAAAAAAAAAATCTAAGATTAATTACATTCTCTATTCAAAATCAGTTGTTTTGTTTTATATAACCATTTTGATACCAATAAAGCAGGGTTTTATATTTCACTTGAAACTTTGATCAATATAAAGAGCAAGATCTGATGGTAAAAGATGCAATATTGCTGATAGGAAAAATTTTATTAATGTCTATGCAACAATATCCAGAGCTGTAAGATTTGAGCAAATTGGACATTTGTTTGGGATAAGCAATGTTAAAATTACAAAATGCAAAATTTTCAAGAATGATTTTTTTCTAAAATTTATAATATTTTCTGAAATTTATAATAAATTTATTAAAACATGTAACATATTCATAAATAATATATTTTATTTACTGTATAAAACAGTATTTAGCAATAGTCATGTGTAAAAATCTTAGTTACAGCATTGATAATATCACAAATAATTAAATTAAATATAATATTTTCTGATCATTCTTCTTCTTATATTTCTTTCTTACACTGACTGATGATTAATTTATAAATTACATATCAGAAACTAATATTGTCTTAGTAATCCTTTAATGTATACTGAAATACCAATATATTATGTACAGTACATATATGCTGTTAAAAAATAGGTAACTCTAGCATTGCTTCAGCAATGTGACTTTTCTGCAATATAAATTACATAGCTTGACATGATGAAGGACTAGTTTTTGTTTGTGTTCAGTTAAGAATATAAATCTGGGTGACTTCAAACTTGACTTTAAATCTGCACATGTAACATCCACAATGAGTGCTAGATGTGCTGATTCTCTCATCAACCAAATCACAAACCTTCTGGGTTTTTCATACATAATAATAGCAAGAGTACATTGCAAATGATGTGTAGCTCAAAAGCAGCCATGAGTGTGTTTGGAAAACTATAGCTTGTTGATGAGAGGGATGAAAGGAGAATGATGATTATGCGAGCTTCTCAAGGAATTATACTCCAGTACATTGCCTCTGTGTACAACAGAAGCCTGGCAAATATTATCTCAGCATGCAGTTTGTTGATTGTTGAATGGGCATTATCATAGACCTATTGTATGTTTTGTCAACATACGAAGTCTGTGGTGATTCGGTAATGATATTCCTGCACTCTTAAGTCCTCTCATGCTGATTGAACAGCAGGCATTGCCTGAATGTTATGATGAATTGAAGATAAGGGCTAGTACGCATTGGGCATTGCGTTAAATGCGCGTTAGCAGCGTACACACCGCGCGTTCGGCGTTCGACGACTATTCGCACTGGCTCAGTTTGGAAATGGACGTGAAAGTAATTGCTTGTGTGTGGCTCCTCTATCGTCGCTATAAAAGACGATGGCAGAGGCAAAGAGAATTTTGGGTGCACCCAATATTAGGAGATAGACAGACACATGGAATGTTTGCGATGTTGTATCCAAAACTAAGACAATATGAACCCAAGTTTTTTATTATTTTAGAATGTCTATAAAATCATTTGACAATTGCTGGTCTCTTTTGGATTTCATCAATAAATAGATCACTATTGAAATGATCATTCTCCATTTTGGCCGACATGCGTCCACTCTACCCGAAAGCGCGCAAACAAATGTACAACAAAATGGCAGCACATATACCTCAAAGCGCGCATTCTAACCAAAATCTATCAATGCACATTTGGCCAGAAGCGCACATTTACGTGTGTATACATATGCGGAACTCTTGGTTCTTAAAAATGTGCGTTACCAAAGTGCACGCTTCAAAACGCCTAATGTGTACTAGCCCTAAGGGTATAGTTTTAAAGATATTTTCATAAACAAATCAGATCTTTATAGAGAAGTATGCTCAGTAATTATTTAAGAACTTATTGCTTAGTCTATATTTATAAAATTATTAATTAGATTATCCAATAAAAACAATACTTTTTACAATTATTAGTCTCGTGAATTCAAATTAAGAATTTAATAGCTAAGAAAGTTGTTAGTAAAAGCCTGGATCATATTTTTAATTTTTCAAATTGTCTATTAACATAATAATTACCGTCTTTTTTAGCATAGAAGCTGTACACCCATTTTAGCACAGAATATTTGAAGAAAAAGTATTTAATGTATTTTTAAGATATCATGTGTCTTTATCACTCAGCCTCAATTTTGTTGTTGTTTTTTTTTTTTTTAATAAAATTAGAATGCACACTTTTATAGTAGTAGTTTACCATTAAAAGTTATCATTAAAATATTCTTCATAATGGAGTATATGTAAAAGCTGTTTACCTATAGCTAATAATTTTAATTAAATAGTAACATTTTTATTGAAAAATTGCACTAGATAGAGGTTACCTGGAGAATTCATTAGCCTAAGGGAGATCGCAACTTTATGTGTAAGATGTAGGGCTTTTTGTTTTGTTCAAAATTGTGCCACATATGCTGTAAAATACAGTACTTGACTCTGTAATGTGTTAAACAATGATAGATTTTTAAGTAGTAATAATTATCGCAATGCCTTAGGTTGTTCGGAAAATAAGTTTGTTTTTTTTACACTAGACGGATTAGTTGTATTATTCCCGCCATTTTCATTCTAAACCTTATTATCATTATATATTTTGACAGCTAGCATTTTAAGGCTTATTTGTAAAAAAATTTTGTTTGATTTTGTGCAATTGTTTATTTTTGGTGTCCCATCAAATATGGAAGATCGAAAGCAGCATTTTCGGCATATTTTGCTCTTTTATTACCGAAAAGGTAAGAATGCTGTTCAAGCGAGAAAAAAATTGTGTGACGTGTATGGAGAAGATGTATTGACAGAACGACAGTGCCAAAACTGGTTTACAAAATTTCGATCTGGCAATTTCAATATTCAAGATGCGCCACGTTCTGGATGGCCAGTTGAAGCCAATGAAAACAAAATAAAGGTACTGATTGAAGCAAACTGCCGAATAACAACACGTGAAATCACTAAGAGATTAAATTTGTCAAATTGAACTGTTTATGATTACTTGAAACAAATTGGTTTCGTTTCAAAGCTTGATATATGGGTTCCACATGTTCTCAAAGAGAGATGCTCTTTGGTGGGATTTTAAGGAAATTTTTTTTTGGAGCTTTTACCAGACAATTTAACAATTGATTTGAAAGTGTACTGCCATCGAGTAAATAAATTGAGTAGTATCATCAAACAGAAAAGGCGGCCAGAATTGATCAACAAAACAGGTGTAGTGTTTTACCACGATAATGTCAAATTTCACACAAGTTTGATAATTCGTCAGAAACTGTTATAACTTACATGGGACATGCTATCACACCTACCATATTTGCCAGATCTAGCACACTCAGATTATTACTTGTTCCAGTCTATACATTTTTTTTTTTTTTTTTTTTGTTGTAGGCTATGCTGCCATACCTTGATAAGAATGTCTATCAATTTCCTTTTTGTAGGATAATGTCAAATTTCACACAAGTTTGATAATTCGTCAGAAACTGTTATAACTTAGATGGGACTTGCTATCACACCAACCATATTTGCCAGATCTAGCACACTCAGATTATTACTTGTTCCAGTCTTATACATTTTTTTTTTTTTTTTTTTCACGGTAAGACATTTACTTGAAATGACAATGTCAAAAATCACTTGAATCAGTTTTTTGTAAACAACGATCAAAACTTTTATGAATGTGAAATCACGCTACTACCAGAAACGATGACAACAGGTATTTGACCAAAATGGTTGATATATAATTTAATAAAATATTTATTTATTTATAAAAATATTGTGTTTTTTTCCACGGAAAAAAACGAACTTACTTTCCGAAGAACCCAATAGATTCAGAAATTTGAAATATATAAGATCATTAGTAATTTTCAATAATTATACTCAAATCCAAAATTAAAGCATCACACACAAATGTACATGACAAAAGTACAGAAATAAACAGCCTTCATTGCAACAACTAATCCAAACGACTTTTCTGAAACATGCCTGACAAGCTACTGATATACAATATCAGGAGACTTCCTCACTGTTACAGATACTAGTAGATAATTGTTAGTCAGAAATGATTCTCTTCTCTCTCTCTCTCTCTCTCTCTCTCTCTGTGTGTGTGTGTGTGTGTGTGTGTGTAGCGTATTACATTTTGTTGCCGGGATTTGCTGTTATCATGTCTCATTTGCACATAACATTGCCGATTTATGTATGATGGAAGTTTCAGCTATTCACATTTCGTGGTATAGATTTCATTGGTTTTATATTTGTTGCTTTAATTTAGGACACCAGTGTATTATTATTTTAATTTTTGAATAGATTTTGCATGATTATATTTAAGAATTGTTTTATTTTATAATAATAAGATTTAATGCAGTATTATTATTATTAAGTGAAATTACACAATTATTGCATTTTAAAAATTATTTACATTTCAGAACCAGAAGCTTTAATATCACTTCGCATGGCTTTGCAATTGAAAGAAAGTGGAAAACATGAAAAGGCTCAAAAACTATTTCAGCATGCTTTAGCTCTGAATCCTGTACAACCAGATATTCTCACTCATTATGGTGAGTTTTTAGAGCATCATCATCAAGATGTCATTAAAGCTGATCATATGTACACGAGAGCACTTATTGTATGTCCTGAACATTCAAAAGCACTTGTGAATAGGCAAAGAACATTACCAGTTGTAGAAGAATTGGATCAGAAACAACTTACCAGAATAGACAGAAAAAGAGACAGGCTTATTCATATTCCTGAAAATGACCCAGCATTAAAAAGAATGAAGAAAGAAGCATATTTTCAGCACATTCATCATACAGTTGCTATAGAAGGAAATACAATGACATTAGCAGAAACTCGAATGGTAGTTGAAACACGTATGGCTGTACCTGGTAAAAGCATTGTTGAACATAATGAAATTTTGGGACTGGAATCAGCATTGAAATATATAAATAATACATTAGTCAATAAGTTTGGCCTTATTAATGTTGGGGATATTTTGCAAATTCATAAAAGAGTGTTAGGTCACGCTGACCCTTTAGAAGCAGGTTGCTTTCGTAGGTCTCAGGTATATGTTGGAGAACATACACCACCTTCTCCTACTGAAATAATTGACATGATGGAAGATTTTATAGAATGGATGAATTCAGAAGAAGCATTTAGTTTGCATCCAGTGAAGCATGCAGCTCTTGCACATTATAAACTAGTCTATATTCATCCTTTTATTGATGGAAATGGCAGAACAGCACGATTATTAATGAATCTTATTCTAATGAGAGCTGGTTACCCACCAGTCATAATAAGAAAACAAGATAGATCCTTATATTATGAATATTTACAACATGCAAATGAAGGCGATGTTCGTCCTTTTGTACGTTTTATTGCAGAATGTACAGAAAGAACTCTGGATGTGTATCTATATGCCACAGAGTATGGAATTTCTGGTGTTAGAGCTTTAGGTGGACAGGAAATAGACAGATTTCCTAGGATAATTGACAATGAACAGCAAATATCATAAACATTATTTATTTATTGTGAATTTAATAAGCTGAAAGCAAGTACAGTATTGTAATCTGTTTGTACATACTGTAAATGTGTATATACCGTATTTAAAAATGAAGCACAATTTTTATCATAATTATTGTACACTATTAATTGACAAGAGATTTTTGATTGTATTTTAAATACAATTTCAAGTATTATGGAAAAATTCTATAGAATATTCATTACTATTCATATTATTTAAGAATATATTTATGCATAGACAAAAATTTTAATGAAAAAATATAGCACATGAAAAATTTCAAAATATAAAAATTAAAATCGTTTATAAAATAATGATTTCTTATTTATAATTTTTTTCTTGTAATGATTACATTATAGTTTTGATATAAACCAATTTTTTACGTCATTAAACCAAAACATAAATTATTTTAAAAGCAATGAAAAATATTACCTACAATACATCAAAAATATTCGTGTAATTACAAAATTATTTTTATTCGATTCAATATTACAGAAAAAGGAAGTTTTGAAAGTTTGTACCGGTATTTATTAGTCTTTTATATCAATGGTAATTCACTTTGACTCTGTACATACAAACGCCATTGGACATCAATAGATTATAATGATTCGTAGTTCTTTTGATCCAAAACTTTAAGCTATACTCAGTAAATGATGATGAAACGAAAAACACTGGTTTCTTTTTCGAAAATGTCAAGTTAGATATACGCACGGAAGAGGACACAGATCTGGAAAAGTATAATTTAAACTAAAACTTCGATCCCGACTGAAACGAAGCGACGCCTTGCGAACTCTCATAATTTTTTTTTAATACTCCTCCCTGTGGGCACTAAGGGTCTCTTAGCGAGCCCATTATGGGTTCGACCAGGCCCATGGGATCACCCCTCGAAAAATTCCTGGGGATTTTTTGACCCGTCCGGATTCGATCCCGGGTCCCCTAGAGCGGTGGGATGCCACCTTGACCGGCAGTCAACGTTAGATCATTGAGGGGCACTAGATTAAAGCGAATCGTCACACTGCATAAGTGTGACGATTCTTATATTTGTTCTAAAACTTCATTAACCTACATAATAAACGGTTGACGTAGATGGGGCAATTTGCACGTGCTTCCTTAATATAGTTTAAAATATCCCTGTATTTAACAAAATAAAATTGGAATTTTTCCCATACACTTACAATGGGAATCCGAAGCTCAATATACTGTCGTTATTGTTTTTTATATACGTTAAGATATGTAGGGTTCATTTTTCCAGATAAGTAGAAAAAAAGATCGGTATTAAAAAACAAGAAAATTGGCGAAAGCTTCGCCGTATTTCGAATGTCGGGTAGTAAGCACTCGTTTGTTTACGTTTTCACAACTGGGTTTCTAAATAATGAAGTTTTACTGTATAGAGAGGGGTCGGACTTCATGAAGATTTTCTTCGTTATTACCATTTAAAACTCATCCCTACCCTCGAAATTAGGCTTTTTATCATTGTATAATAATTAAATATATATATAAAAAATTTTGTAGTAAAATTTCATAACACAATTTTATTTATTTACTAGCTTACCCGTCGCGCATTGCTGCGATCTCAGAAGAAACGAAATTCAAGCAAACTCGTTATGATAAAATTAAATTTACATTTTATCATTTTTATTGAAACTTATTGTTATTATTCATTTTCATCGGGAAAACATTTCAAAGTGTCGTTTCAATTCTATTTATTTATTGGAGTGCTTGTGGATACACGATATTTGTTTTTCCGTCTGGTGCGTACACGAATAAATCAGAAGATTTTCCGACGCGTGAGCCGGCTACATAGTTGTACATGCGAGAAGCACGGATTCTTCAAATTTAGCCCATACACTTGCAGCGATTGTCAGAAATGCGATATTCCCCATTTTTATATATATATTTATATTTTTTTAATCCTTTATAATTTTAATTATTTAATTGCTCCTTCCTCTCTTCCTTGGCATGTTGTGAAATTTCTGATAGTTGGATAATAAACCGTTTTATTGTAATTTGTCTTTTTAAATTATTTTGAGTCGATATTAAAATTTGGAAAAGGGGGGATACCTAGATCGGTAAAATACGCGAATTTCTTCCTACAACTTCGGTTGTTGTTCGGGGTACAGTTAAGGTTTTAACGAAGTTCGAGCGAATACATAATTAGCAAAAAAAAGTTGAAATAAAGTGATTAAACAAAAATTATTACAAATATCGTAAATAACAGTTCACAAATGCATATATAGAGATATTTTTTGAAGGGGGAAATGGTCTTCACAATTTGAAATCGATCGAACACACTGTGAAATGATCATATACACGCGCGCCATCTATCGCAGGATAAATGCACTATGCCTGAAACCTTCGCGGGAGTGTATTAAAAAACTTTCCAAAGCTTCATGGCAATCGGATAAACGGTGTGATAATGCATGAAGGACAGACACACAGACATACACTTATTTTTATATATATAGATTATTTTTAATGATATAAAAGTTATTTTTTAAATAAAATCTTTTAACAGCTGGGAATAATACGCAACGCGTTGCTGGATTTTTTAAAGTCGCTTAAATATCATTTCATTGCTCTGTCTAAAATAAAGTTTTTATTTGCTTTTATATGCTTTATCACAGTTCAACGTTATTCCAACGTTATATTGTTAATTTAATTAAATTTGCAATTTCTTGATGAAAATTGCATTATAAAATATATATAAATACAGTATATATTTATTTATTGGTTAAAATTGATTCAGTATTTCATGACTTTTTTAGTAATGTAGTGCTCAAACTTATAGTCATATACCCCAACGCGAACCCCTGAATACCCCTTGTGTAGACCGTAGTCTTCTTTCTACAGGTTCTGTGTATCTTGTCGCATTATTACTGAACAAAATGACAATGCGAAGCGATCGTGTAGAAAAGTCTTAAGCGAATAAAATTAATTTCTATAATTTATTGACACTACATAAACCCAGTACGATACTATTACATCGTCATGGTTATTAAATGTCGGTCTACATGTAGGTACAGTACATTAAGTGGGAACAACGCGCTTCACGTGGTTAACAATTTCTCGATATTAATAAATCAACTGTTAAAATGATGATAATCTAACAAACACGTGCAGTAATTGTAATTGTCTATACAATCACAACACGTGGAATTAGTTAAAAACGTAATTCATTCTATAAGTATCTATTTTATGCTGCAAATCTCTACTCGTACAAATAAATTATGTAGAAACTTAATACCTGTATTAACAAATTATTTGTTGCCATAAAGCTAAATTCAAAATTCATATACGTGATTTAATTAAGTATAGGCAAATAAGTTTCCGTCCCACGTCCTGAAAGTCACACCGTATCCTGATAATAAAATCTTTTACCAGAATGATATGAAAGTGAAATCTATTCTTATAAACTTGTTTGCTGATTTCTGCTTTACAAACTTCGCTTTCTACTTAAATAATTATTCAGTATTTTGTCTAAACTTGAAGTAGGAAGACGATTAAGTGAAATAAACTAAATTAACAATAAACTTTTTCATAAAATATAATTTTATAAACCAACCAGTATATCTAGTGTACCAGAGCCCCTTTAGCCGCCATTCAAAAATAATCGAGTGGCGTTTCCACTTCCCAGGACGAGGACCTAGGGGATGGATTTTGGGAAGCGGTGTTGGTGTTATGTGACGGGGTTGTTTACAGCTGTGACGCATGATATGTAAATGAATGGATGCGATGAACAAATTAGATAATGATTCAATTTTGAATGCTACCGTGAGGAGTGTTTGTAAGGAAGTGTTGTAATGAATATATATATATATTCATAAAATATCCAGTTAATAAAATTCGCGCTAACAATGCATTAAATAATACATACTTACCTGAGTATGCCGTGATCAAAATGGTGATGGTGAAAACGCTAGAGCGAGTTCTTGTAATTACAATTGTTGAACTGATGCAGATGGACATAAAATTTGTGACATTTTACTGTTACGTATCAACTACTCTTGTAACAATTAATGTATCTGACCCAACCTGTCTTGGTCATGTAATATCAATGTGTCATGGACTTGTCCCCGGGTCCCACGCAAAGAAAAAGCGTGCTCCCGGGCACAAGAATATTTTTACGAAATATAGCAACGACGAGTGGAAAGTAATCGCAAATGTGAGATCCGAAAGGCCCTGGGTCTAATTTGTGAATTTTATTAATAATCTTAAATTATAGACACGAAATATTACTTCGTTTTTGTGAAAAAAAATATTGTTTTAGACGTGGGAAAAACCAGATAACAAATGTTACTTCCTTTCACAGAAGAGAACATCCTCTGTTTTTCCATATCTGGTTAAAAATCTCGCTCAGAGGGGAAATGGTTACCCCTCATTCATCCCCCTTTCGTCCGTTCTCACAAAAGAGTTACTGGACGTTGATTGGACGAAATTTTTGAAATAAAAGGAGAAATTAGTCAGAATTCGGGGAGTTCTTCGACAAGTCCGAAGCATACAAACTCCACATACGTTTCCCTCCTGACGGCCAACGCCCTATACGAGTCATTTAGACTAAGTCCCAGGCCTATACGTAGAAGTGATATTTTTATATTTGTGAACATAGTGATCTCCCATACGAAGAAGTAAACGAACTTACATACAGAGAAAAAGACGAACGACATTTGAAACAGGTCGTATGTTATAATAATCTTGTGAGCTCTCTCTCTCGATCGCGCATTAGCATAGATTTGTCGTAGTCCCTAGTTTGTTGCTAAATGGTTGTAATCGAAATTTTTGTATTCGTTTGTTTGAGATTTATTAAATTTACTCTTGTTTTATGTTATAAGAATGTCTCCTCAATTCATTTCGAATCAGATCGCATACGCGTGTTTGTCCGCGCATCGATAAATTGACAAACTGGTGTCGGGAACCTGACGAGCATCCGAATCTCGCGATTTGGATCATTATTAAAAGCCCTCCTATAGGAACCTTTAAGATCAGATCTAGTGATCTGTATCCTAGAGAGCTGGTCTTACCGACTAGTGCCCGTAAGTGGCGTAGATTGAGCTCTGCGTCCTTGGCTAATCTCACACAATCGAGTATTAAAAATAAATCTTGTTTGTATCTGACCCAACCTGTCTTGGACATGTAATATCAATCGTGTATTTGTACCAATGTGTCATGGACTTGTCCCCGGGTCCCACGCAATGAAAGCGTGCTCCCGGGCACAAGAATATTTTTACGAAATATAGCAACGACGAGTGGAAAATAATCGCAATCG